ATAGAAACCACTCTCTGTTATATAATTAAGAATCATGTTGGTCTAATCATGGGCAATGATATTTATGACTAATGACCAAGGGATAATATAGACATTTTTCAAAGGAAGAATACTGTACCTTGAAGGGAAATTAAAAAATTTAGGAGAAAGTATTTTATAATTAATGTAAATATGAGAAATAAAATTAAGTGATTATTTAGATGTTTTCCTATGTGAGAAAAAAACACAATTAAGAAATACTCAAAAAGTTCATGTAAAATATCCCTTATGGAAAAACTGCATGGATTTCAATTTTTTTGCACCAAAATAAATTTATCTTCTAACTCCATTTTTCCATAAATTTTTTTAAAAATTTCCATCATGTATTAATGATTACCTAAATATTTATCTTGTCCTATGCATATTTATATATCAAACTAATTGCATAGCATCTTCTCTTGGTTATCTAACAGGCATCACTGCTTAATTTGTACACAACAAAACTTATCTTCATATCTCCATCTGCACTGCCCAAGTTTCTCCATCACAATAAACAGAATCACCAGTTACGCAGTTTTTCCACTAAAATCCCTGGTGTCTACCCTGATTCTTCCCTTCCCTCTACACTCCAAATATTCTCCATCATCAAGTTTGTTTGACAGTATATCCCAAACTCAATCACCTGTCAAGCCTTTTGTGAAGGCCATCATGTATAAGTTACCATTACATCACAGGTGATCTACTGGAGTAATCCTCTAGCTTGGAAAACATAAATCAAAGTATAAGTCATTAACCTACATTTTAACTTCTAAACCTTTCTCATGCATCATCAGATTTACATTCTATGCCTTACTAATAGTGCCCTACACAGTCACATCTTCCATTTCATCTCATTCTCTCTGCCTTCTTGTACCACTCTAGTCATGCTAGACACCCTAACATGCCTCAGATATCAAAAGATCATTCCTACTCCAGAGGCTATGGGCTTGGTCATTTCTTCTACTCGGAAGACTGGGCTCTGCTAAGCATTTGCTCCCTGCTTTATCGAGTACTGTCCTCAAAATGAACTGCCCCCCACCAACCTCATCGATAGGCTTCTCCTGAACAGTGCATCCAAGGGCAAAGATTTGTGAAAAAGCTGTAGAAATGGCTAACTCATATGTAGGATATGTGAGATATAAGAGAATATTGATGGAAGTGGATCTGCGAAAAAATCTTAGAATCTCTAAAAAGAACCTTTCTGATAAACTCTGCAAATATCCGAATCAAAACTATTCCTTCACAATTGTCTGATTATCCAACTCTAAGCTAATCCAAGGTCTTCCTAAGCATCCTTTAATGTGACTGCTTTCTTAGCTGTAGAGTCTGTAGGTCACTTCCCCTAACTGTTAATGACATCCAGACTTCAAAGCCATATACCCATCTGTTTATTTTTGATACTTATATATGAAATTATCATTTATGAGAGCTTGAGCATATTGTCCTGAAGGGCTAAGTTTCGTTCCAGATCAGTATCTCTTTCCCACTATTAGAAGGGAAAACGTCAATTGTTTTGCCAATATTAATTTTCTGTCATTAATGAAACTTTTGGCATCAACAGGAATTACCATAGGCCAATTGTAAGTCAATAATTTCCAGACCAAGTGTAAAGATTATTTTACTTATCTGACCATACATACTTGAAAGTTTCACACCAAGAATTTAATAATTTGTATTATAAAGATATGCTGAATGAAATTTGAATTTGAGATTTTAAATAACATATTTTAAAATATTTTCAAGTTTATACAAAATGAGAAATTATTTTAAAAGTTGCTAAACCGTACTTACAAAATAAATTATATATAATAACTATGCTTGCTCAGAAACTGGAGATAACATCTTGAAACCTTCAAATGGATTTTGAAAGTAGGTTGCAGTCCAAGATCTTGACTAGCTTGTTTTTATGTTCTTACTATATTGACAGACATTCCTACATTCTATACCAGGGCACATAAAAAAGCCCCTTTAGTTAATACAATGGACCACAACAATGGAGGTCTCACCTCATCCCTCTCATAATGGTACTATCAAAAAGACAGACAGTAACAAATACAAATGAGAATGTGGAGCAAGAACTCATACTCTGTAAGTGGGAATGTCAACTAATGAAGCCACTGAGGAAAACAGTATGAAGTATTTACAATACTGACAGATAGAACTGCCATGTGATCTAACAAACCCACATGAAATCACTGTCAAAGAGACACCTGTTCTACTATGATTATCACAGTACTACTCACAATTGAGGTGTCTATCTTCAGATTACTTAATAAAGAAAATTTGGTGTGTATATACAATGTAATATTATTCATCCAGAAAAAGAATGAAATCGCCTAAGTTGCACTAAAATGGATGGAACTGCAGACATCTTGTTCAGTGAAATAAGCCAGACACAGAAAGACAAGTACAGCATGTTTTCCCTCATGTATGAGAGCTAAAATTAAATAAAAAAAAAAAAAATCTGAACACAGAATGTTGAGAAGGGTGGGAAGGATAGAAGGAATTTGGATTAAAAAAAAATACAGGAACCTGGGTGTGGTTCATTACTTTAACAAATACACTAATATAAGACATTAATAAAGAGGAAGTGGCATGAGGGCTATATGAAAACTCTGTATTATTCTATCACAATTTTCACTTTGTAACATTAAAACTATTCTGAAATAAAATGTTAAAAATAAAATCAGAAAAGGCAACGAAAAAGGGACAAATAAAGAACAATTGCAATGATTAGAAATCTGTTATTAACATAGTATATATTAATCCCTTCTATGCTGCCAATCACTTTAAATGTGAATACTATAAATAGAGATTTTATAACATGTGTTCATGAAATTGTGTGAAGACAAAAAAATTAAATGGCTCATACATTTTATCAACAAAAGGAATGTTTGATTGAAAACAAAGTTTTGTTCTACGAAGTTGTTTCCCCTGAAGTCACATAACATACCAACTAATAATTTAACTGAGTGAGCATTTCCCCTTAGGTTTAGAAATCTATATTTTTTACTTCAAAACAATTAAGTTCAAACAAATGAGTAAACTTATTTCCACAAATTGCAGGCAATAACTCCTATCCTATTTTCACTCCCTTTCCTTTCTTCCGTCTTT